CCCCCCCACTCTAGCCATACTCACCAGACTCTGACACAGGGTGGGGAAGGGGGCAGAGCCAGGGAGCCACCTACACACATGGCAAACAAACAAGTGGTATGAAGGTGGGGGGGAGGGGTGGCACCCATACAGCTGGCTTCTCTGTGGGGAGAGAAACCTGACATACCCTAGTGTCCTGTTACCCCCAATACCCTGAGTCCCCCCAACACTCTTAATACCCCCTAATACCTCAAATAATCCTCAATACCCCCTCATAACCCCTAATACCCTCCAATAACCCTTGCTAACCTCTCAGCCTTGGCTATTGGGGTTAATTGGGGTAGGGTAAAGGTACTGTGACCAGGGGTTCACCCCAGTGAGGCCTGGGTTCTCTGGGAGGGAAGAGGCAGCTGGGAGCCAGGATGCCTAGGTTCACACCCCATCCCTCCAGCAACATCACCATACTCAGACACATTTGATTTCTCCTCTTTGCTTTATTCTGTTTCCATCACAACCACGCCTATTTGCCTGGGTTCCCCAGACACCAGCATACAAAACATTATGTACAAGACCCTGACCTCCCCACTGAAGTGGCCAGGCACTGCCAGTCCAAACCAGTAGCCCTCAGTGGAGCCCAGACACCTGGTTCTCTGGGAGGGGATGGGGAGGAGGCTGAGGGTGAAAGGTGGCAGGGCTGGAACCCAGACACCTGGGTTCCATGCTCAGCTCTGGGGCTGGGGGGAGGATGCTCAGGTTGTCTCCTGTCTAAGCACAAGCTCTGAACACCACATGCTCCAACTCCCCCCCACCCCCTCAAACCCAGGTGTCCAGGCTCCCAGCCCCACCTGCTCTTACCTCACAACACCCCCTCCCCCCAGAGAACCCAGGTGTCCAGGCTGTCAGCCCCCCCCACACTGTGGGGGAACCCAAATGCTGGGTTCTTTCCCCAGTGCTGGCTCTGGCGGTGGACTAGTTCCCATTTCACATGAGTCTGCTAGAAGTCAAGGCACCAGTTGATGGCAAGACCCTGGTGGGTTGGTCCCAGATCTGTTGGGGGAGGGGCTGCAGTTAGGGGAGATCTTAGGATCCCAAGGACAACCTGTGATTAGATCCCAGGGAGGGTGGAATCCATCGCACAGATCTTTATTTAGAAGGGATGTAATTAAGGCTGCTCAGGCCTGGAACTGAATAGATCCTGCCAGGTTAAGGCAAGCACTCTACTGGTCCATATAGGATTCACCAAGTAGATCCTCAGGACTGGGGGGGGGTGGGGGGTGAGTGAGTCAATCCCATTGGTAAAATCAATCTGTTTTGCAGAACAGATGTCATTCAATCCAGCAAAGGATCTACTAGGGATCAAGTTGGGGCCTGGTGGAGAGCAAACCTCAATTAGTCCATAGAGACTGCTTGATGGGGGGGGGGGGGGGGGGAAAAACCCCCAGAGAA